GCATCAGAATTGACAGTAGCCTATTTTGTGGATCGTTATTTCCTGTTTTTTGTCTGTACATTTGACAGCTTTGCTGCCTTGTTTTTTAAAAACTGTCATAAGATGTTGTGTGAACCTTAGAGTAACTTATTAATGTTTCTTAATTTTTATTTTCCAAATTTAGAGCAAACTTCTTCGTTATTATTTTAAGTGTTTGACTTAAATTGTAATACAAAGGCCTCATCCAGTAGGGCTAAGGTCTATTTTAGTTCTCATCGTCATTTTATTTTCTTTTGACATTAGTAAAGAAACCGCCCGTTTTCATCGACAAGCTTACCATGTATTGACTTCAATCGACCTGGTGAACCTTCCTTTGTGTTCACTCAAAGGATCTATACATTTCTATTGACTAAAAGGGGCAGGAATTCGGTAGTCATGGGAAGGTCACAGCACATTTGAAAGCTCTCACAAAGACATTGAGGTTAAGGTTAAGCCTAGAGGTCCAGGCCAAATGTGTAGTAGTGGGGGTTTATTTACAGTCAAAGGAATAAAAAAAGGGGTAGGGATTATGAACACGCATTTCGGTGAAGCCTAGGCTTCCAGCAATCTCCTGATGAATATAAAGTTTTTCTGTAATATATAATTTTATGTAAACGTATTTAAATATGCTTTCAAAGCAGAATGAATGCTCTTACTATTATTGGGGTCGGATCAATATGCAGGTTAAGATCGAGTTTTAGTTGATATCCATTTTACTGTACAGCAGTGGTGTATTTGGATACAATGAACTATCTGCTATTCTTCATTAATCTAATAATTTAAACTGCAGTGGAATGGTTCAATATCCGTATTGTAATTGACTGAGTAGGGATGCAGGGAATAATTTGAATCTTGTAATTCCAGTCATTTTAAAGAATTTAAAGTTTAATTATTTCAACTACATTTTTTCAATTTGAAATTAATGTTTGGAACTAAATATGACATAGAAAAATACTCTTAATAATCCATTCCTGTTCTGTGCTTGCACTGATAACACTGTGATTCTTTTTTATTATTAATGCAAATAAACAATAGAATGCAATCAAGCTATCATAATTCATTGGCACAATTCTGTTGGAATTATCAAACAACTTATTATGAATTTCTTTAAATACAGTTTAAGCATAAATCTTAATTTTCAAAGTTATTTTTCAACTTACAAAAAAAAAAAAAAAAATTTAGTTGGTGAGTATTTGACCGTAAAAAGAGCTTTTAATTAATTTGAATTTTCAACAGTCAAATATTATACAGATTTGCAGGATCAAGTATTGATGCCCTTTCCCTAACCAAAGATGGGCATGGCAGGTTTAAGGCCAACAGTTCTGGATCACATTTTCTCTCACATGAGAGCTAAACACATAGATATTGCACTGAAAGGTGGACCACTACGCTTGGTCCAACAAATGATGTCCATTCACACCTTGAAAATGTCATGAAACAAACTGTGTGAATATATTGTGTGCTCTGTTGTGAAAATTCTCCTTTTGGAGTCCTTTTTTCCCAAATGTTGTTTCAGTATCCTTCTAGTCCAACGCGTACAGCTTCAAAATCTTCAAGTGAAAGTTCTGTAAATGAAACAGAATGATTTACAAAAAGCCTCTAAATTAGTTCCACGATAAAAGAAAGTATGACTCTATCCAGAATACTAAAGGGCCTAAATTCATTTGTCTTTTTAATGAATACATTTTTTATTTCATTTTAAGGTAACGATACACGTGAGCAGAAATCATCAACTTGAAAGTAAATTTAAAAACGCACTTTGGCAAAGAGTAGTGAAATGATTGAATCAAGAGGTAAAATAACCAATGGAAATTTTAGATAAAGTTTCGAGCAGCAATCCATGAGAGTTCTGGTGTGAAAAAAATTCATTTAAACAAAGCCCTGTTTAGTGGGATATCTCATGCCAACATATGGCAAATTCAGTTTTCTAATAATAATAATATTAATAATAATAATAATAGAACTGACCAGTTCGCTGGATTTCATAGGTTTCATTAATGTCTGTACATAGCGCTGTCATACTCTCAAAGTTGATGCGTTGACTGAAATGAGATTTTTTTGTAATCAATAAGGGTAACAATGGAATGCTGTATGCTTTGGGTAACATTGAAACGTAAATAGTTCATCCAAAGTCAAGTTTCCAAAATAGTTACCCAATTTAAATAAAATATTTGTCCTGCATTAAATTGTAAAACAAAAACCTTTCAGCATGTTGCATTTTCAAAGGCAGTTTTAAAAGGTAAGACAGAAACAAGATACTCACCAAAGCCCAGCAACGTTAACTTCAACACTAGTGGACGGACGTGTTCGATAAGAGCGCTCCAGTTTCGTGTTCACATATTTGGGGTACGCAGTCCAGTTTCCATTAGAATTCCACTGCCACAGGGCAACCTTTCCATCTGAAGGATACAGTGTGGGGGACTTTAATTTGTTGTTTATGTACACGAATGAAAACAAAAATGCATGTGATATTTGATCAATTTTATTAGAATTTTGCAGACACAATGGTCAAAATTGATAACACTTACCAAACGATTGTGTTTCAAATTAAGTATTTCATTCTAGGAAAAACATTTCGACCAAAGACTTGAAAGCAGTATCAAAACAGCAAACTCACCGTCTGTAATAAAACCTGACCCGTCCTCATCACCTTCATGTTGAGTAGACTCCTCCCTATATGAATATAATTTATTAATTGACGCAACCTTGATTAAAAGAATAATGCCACTCACTCTCAGATGCAAAGAGCTTGCTCTGAACGTCAAGTATATTGACTAGATTTTTACTTTTAGCCGTATTTACCAAAAAATTGCCTATACTACTGACACAGTGTTACTGTTTAGATTAAACATGAACAATACCACAAGTTTAAGTACTGGTATATAATCATATCATTTAGGTGAAGGTTAAATGACAATGAGATGAAAATAAGGTTAAAACCAGACCTGATCACTGCCATGAAACTAAAAAGAAGTAAAAAAATAAGCATTTTGTTTTAACAAAATTTTGTTTTAACTAATTAAAATTAGTGGAAAAATTCTTACACCAGCTCAACTTCAAATCGCCCATCATAACCATAGCGATGGTTGCTTGCCACCCGCGTCGGCCAAAGAACCTACAAAATTAGGAAATAATTGTTTGAATAACTCAAAAAGAGAATAGGGAAACCGCCTTTACCCACAGTTTAATTTCAAGAGATATTTACAATAAAAAGTATATTTCTCGATTTCCTGGCCTTTTTGGTTACAGAACTTTTGTTGCACATATTATTGTACAACAAATGAAAAGCACTCAAAAGTAACAGAATGTATGCGTGCATATGTGGCAGTGATGGTATAATCGATTATGCATCTAGATTACAAATTATTTTGTCGTTTTCATACTTCCAAAAGTTTTGCATAATAGTAGGACACTGAATTGTTTTTTATCAATTTAACTTACATAAACTATTCCTGCTTCTTCTACTTTGTACACAGTGCCAATACTTCCAGGACCTCCGTCATTATTGCCAGAGTTCCAGTGTGGACCTAAAAGTATGACAGGACAGTGACAGTATTTTCAGAAGATTAAGGGACCATTCCCACAGATATTTGAATCGATCTTTCTCTGCGGGGAGTCTCACTTAATTGCTATCTGCTATCAGCAAGGCCTGAGCATGCAAGAAAGATAATTACCCCCTAGCTGATTCGGTAGGAGTGACAGACATTTAAGCCTCTTCAGATGATAGCAATGTTGTGTGAACCCTAGAGTTAGGTCGATCCAGATCCAGGTATGGGAACGGCTTCCTCACACTACTTAACTAGATATTGACCACAACAAACAAATTCCCATATTAAATGCCAATACTTACCCCATCTGGCCGATCGCAAGTGTGCAAGAAAGATTATTACCCCCTAGCTGATTCGGTAGGAGTGACAGATGTTTAAGCCTCTTCAGATGATAGCAATTTAGCGTGAACCCCCAGGGAGTTAGGTCGATCCAGATGGGGACCCAGGCGCTCACATTCCTTTCAAACCACTAGACTAAATATTGACCACAACAAACAAATTCCCATATTAAATGCCAATACTTACCCCGTCTGGCAAGGTATTTTACCATCCGCATTCTGCCTTCGAAACTATAATAATTTTTTTTCCAACAACAGTTAAAATCCAGAGTTATTATCATTTCATGACATCCATGTTCTACAAGAAACCTTCAAGAAATGAGAGCTATACTTATGAAAGTCTCTTCCTAGGACTGCAATTATTCCCTCATTTTTTTTTATACAAAAACCTAGCAAAAAGGGCAGCCAAAAAAAATGTACATCAAGTTATTACCTCGTCTAACTTTTACACCAGGCTTAATGAATTCATCATCCCTAAGAATGCGTGGCTCATCCACCGCCTGCACTTCTCGACGTCCATCGTGGCCATACCGATAGACAAAATCTTCATTGCTGTGGTCCCACTGGACTTTAACCCAACCTTGAATAATTGGATAAAAAGCACATGTATGTAAAATGCAGATAAAACAGGCAGAGATGCACTTTGAAGTGATTAAAATGTTTATTATTGTAAAGTACATGTAGGTCAAATGTAACTACGTGTTTTCAGCCAAAAAAAGATGTACGAGTGGCAAATGCAAGCGGATGATCCTCAAGCTTGTTGTTATTTGTAATTAAGTTGCTGTTTTTGACATAGGACTAACCGGCCTCTAAACCATCAGCGTCTTATCATTTCATTTTCAAAGGACTTCTATGGGCGGCCGAAAGGGCAAAAAATCATGTCGTCGATTCAGTTATGTTTCGTCGATTCACTGCCTTCCCATCGATTCAGTTTCAAGTTTAAACGATCCTGTCATAAATTCAACATCTACTTTCGTCAATTCAATTGTTAAACATTTCTCATCTATAGTGTATTAAAACCAATGCTGTCACTATTTTCGTCGATCGTGTAACTATATTCGTCGTTCGTCTAATCTCCTCGATCGTCCAACTAATCTCGTCGATCGTGTAACTATTCTCATCCATCGTCTATTCTCGCCGATCATCTCATCGATCGATCGCCAGAGGGCGCTGCGGTAGCACATTGGCCTATCACATGACTATCAAAAAGGCAGACAACAAAATGATTGCTAGTGAAATACGAACATTTTTTCAACAATTTCAATTTTAGTTGTTAACAATTAAAATCTATTCGGTTGTAGGGACATTATTTTCTAGTTGTTTTCAACTCTGACCATGGCTGGCTGAGTAAAAAATTTGCGTGATTGACAGACAGAAGCACGTGCTGATACTGCAGCGCCCTCTGATGATCGATCAATGAGACGATCGATGAGAATAGTTACACGATCGACGAGATTAGACGATCGACGAGAATAGTTACATGATCGACGAAAATAGTTTGAAGATCGATGAGAATAGTTACACGATCGACGAAAATAGTCACAGCATTGGTTTTAATTAATACACCATAGATGAAAAATGTTTGACAGTTGAATTGATGAGTGTAGATGTTGAATTTATGACAGGATCGTTTAAACTTGAAACTGAATCGATGGGAAGGCAGTGAATCGACGAAACATAACTGAATCGACGACATGATTTTTTGCCCTTTTGGCCGCCCATAGACTTCACCTACCTCCCTTTTCATACCCAGACACTGTCCCAGGACCGTTATTATCTTGGTCACCATATTTCCAGTCAGGTCCTCGTCTCACACGTATCCCCAGTGGCAGTTCACGCTGTATAAGTGCTGTCCTCTGTAAGTCCTCCACATCCAGATCTGTCAGCGCTTTGGGACCAATCAGCTCTTGCAATATTTCATACATTTCATCCTGAAAATGGACAAATGTTTCCACAATCTCACGGTGTATGTTACCTCTTATATCTTATATGCTACTGCAATGACAACTTTATGTTTTTACATTTATAATTAAGTTACACTAGGACTGCCAGAAAGAAGGCACTATTTACATACGCTGTTTTCATTATAAAATGCTCAATAACTAGAGGATCAGAGAGGCGATACCGCCTCCGAATATTGTACCACCAGCTGGAGCAAGCGCATTCATATAGACCCCCACATATACAAAATAAGGAACACAGCCACCAGTCTTGTGCTTGACAAGCTGTAAAAATGCAATCAACAAGAATTTTCAAAATATGCAAAAAATATATATATTACTAAAAATGGTACAATCAAAGTTAAGTTCATCGCAAGGTTGGTCAAAGGTCAATTCCAAGGTCACAGTAAATTGCCAGTATATGACTTCCTATTCAACTTCAATAGTAACTATGGGCCTATCTCTGCCAGGTTTGGAGTTAAA